TTATCCGCGTGCAGCTATTGTTCCCCCAAAAGTGTATAACTTCAATTATTACCCTAATAGAATCACAGAGAAAGAACCATGGTAATACAATTCCAAATTTTGCTCTTGCGTCGTTTCGCTAGCTTCTCTAATAGACCTAATTTCTGCAAGCTGAATCGAGCTTACTGAATCCCTCGACGGTTAATTTACCCTGTTACATCGCGCATGATGATCTTCCTCCAAATCTTGTCTCGCACGACCTGTTGATCCGGAAATAACGAAATGAATAATGAGAACGGAATTCTGCTCACGGCCTCGAAATACGTTTTGAACAATGGACAATATTTTACATTCGCATCGATCGTACCAACAAATGTAAAGTTTCTATAAAATTACATAGTAGTGACAACGGAGACAATGGAGATTTGTAGGACAGGAAAATAGGGATGTCAGCAAAGCCTTTTTATGATAAACTGGGGTCTTGACAGATACAACGACACGTTAAAAAGATATTAACGCCAGATGTAATATTATACAAGAGGGATATTAATCATAATATACAATTAAGAATACAAATTTGTGCTTGAACGATTGAACTTGACAATAACGCCGTTCCCCGTCGGCACTTTCCGAGTATATTCGCTCTTTATTATGCCGACGCAGAATAATTTGCTATGTTTCTCGCGTTTAAATTATTCGAACATCTTCGGGGGGAGAATGACTGCTGAGCCTCTGAGATCTTAGTTATGAAAGACGCGATTGATCGATGGTATGCTGAGGTCTTTGGCAACGCGACGGTCGACGGCATGACAGGTATTTAGAACTTCGGGATTAACGAGCAACAAAGTTAGCTCGGCACCTCAACGGCCGAGTCTCGATTCTCGCGGAGAGAGATAATGAGCGCGCGATTACATCTTTAGGAGCAGATGCGACACGTTGATCGATTTAATCGGATTAACGGTGTAGGCAGAGCTGCGAGGGTTCTCACATTTGCGCCTCGTCTTTGTTCCTGCTGTAAGGTCGCGATTGAGTTATGGAACTTCACGAACTGGCAAGTACAGTGCGAATTAGAAACACGACACATTCTGCCGTGCCCGTTTACGCGAGCAAATAAGTTTGTATTGTTCGGGACTCATACTACGTGACGGAAACTTATGTCACGACGTCCTTCAAACGTCTATAATGAGGTTCGTCTTCGTTGAAAGACGTTGTCTTTGCTCGCAGACTCGAGTTGATTGAATGCTTTTAAGTGAACACGTTTATTTTTACTTCGCACTCGATGACGATGTTTCATTTCCGGTGTACATCATGTATATCTCATAGATCTTGTTAAAGGAATCTAATCGTGGCAGTAATGACAATAACATGGCAATTCTTACCTCGGGATTCTATCGAATTAATTTTCCTGCGTTCGTATTCACCGTAAGACAGTCGAAGAGGGATACGCGCGTTCTAATTAAACTCAAACGAAAACAATGCGAGAAATAGACACACACAGGGGATTCTCGAGAAAGTCCCGCGACTTTTAGTCCAGACAGTTTAAATACGTTCTCTCTGGGAAGAATAGAATTTAATCCGTCGCCGAGATAACATTACTGGCGTGTCTTCCGGGAGACTCTTTTATAAAAGCTGCACGTATAAAGTAACACCCCAGCGTATTCATCGCAGAGTAATTACTCTCGATTTGGAAAACAACGCGAGTACACGTAAACATTATTTGATGTAGATAACGTAAAATCGAACTATATTATATTTACATTTTGTACATTCAAATTCATTCGGATATTTATGCGCTTTCATTTCGAGATAGTGGTCCGTCAAACCATTTCCTTAGAAATCTTTTTAAATTTCAGCTGCATATTGGAAATACTATCTACATGTCTGTAAAACTAGAAAACGACTCACCATTTGGAATCTGATATATTCGCAATTAAAGATGACGTTTTTCATAGGTATTTCTTAAATAAATGTCCTATTTTTAATTTTTTCTAAGCTATATTTAGAATTTTTATGAAAAATACTGTAATATTAAAGACTAATATAAAAACATTATTTCACAAAGATTTCACGGAACTTCTTATCATTTTATTTTGAAGATATAGCCATAGAAAATTTACAATTTATCGTAATATCTACGATATATATACAGTTCTGTAACATATTGAGCTTATTACGACGGGTTGCCTGTCCAGAGGCGCGCGTGAAAGAGTGAGAGCGCGCCGCGCGAATTCAGGCCAGTGCGTTCTCGCTTTCTCACGCGTGTCTCTCCAGCATGCAACCTGTCGTAATAAGTTATATATTAATGCAACGCCCTTTAAATATATGTACTTAAATGTTTGTATAACACTTTTTATTGTGTGCACTCTTATTAGCTCTATTAACGTATAAACGCATAAAAAGCATTAATAAGAAAAATAAAAAATAAATTATATCTCCGTGTTTATAATATTGTGTATATGTTTGTTTTAAGCCTTCTGACTATTCGCTGCAATTATCCTTATTTGATGACGTCAGAAGCGAGAAAATGCCAAGAATTCTTACGCGTTCAAATAAAAAACAAATATAAATGTATAAATATAAATGTATAAAAATAAAAATTAAGGAAATATATCTACAAAATAACATTTGTGATCAATTCTTAGCACTGGTAAAATTGGATAAACACTTTTCTTCTATTCGAACAATCAATAAATAGTCGCAAAATTAACTTGACATGAAACTTTCCCTTCTAATTTTTTTTTTATAATTTTATCAACGTTAATTTTGCGACTATTGATTGTTCAGGTAGAAGAAAAATGTTCATTCAATTTTAGTGTGCTAAATCGATCACAGTTGTCATTTTGTGACATCATTAAACAAAAAAACTTGTAACAAATAGTCGGAAGCCTTAATTTCGCTCTAAACTAACATTTATTATTTAGATACTTAAATAAAGTTATAAGAAAGTTTTCTCGGTAAATAATAAACTCAGTAAATAATAATAAACTCATGAAGGGATCTCTTAATATCGTCATTGAAAATCAGGTACTCTATGAGCCAACTATCTTAATCGAATACATGCTCGCGGCTGTTCCGTATTATGCAAACTTAATAATGGATAACTGTCGATTGCGAAATTCAACGGAGTTACGGAACGATATTCGTGGAGACGACGTGTTTTTAAAACGGAGATGCGTCAAACAATCGGACCTGTTTGATGTATCATTATTTGGTCATTAAACCATCATAATTGAATTGGTCACGGTTAGTTGTTTGAACGGTCATTCGTGAGATGCGATTATTTTAATTACATATCGATCGGATTAAGTACTTAAGGACAAATGGGGTTTGCAATGGCGTTCAATTGGAGCTGGTTTCGCGAAACAAAGGACAATGCTACCGCGATGTTTGCAAGTAACAAGCTTCGGGCCGTGTATTGGCTTTCTGTGATGGAACCTTCGGCAAAAGCCGAAATTTTGGCTCCACAACAATTCTGCAAATTTCGTTAAACTTAACTAATTCAAACAGCGAGCTCGACAGGCGCAAGTTTTCATGATTACATGTATTTCAGAATTACCGGAACGTATTGTAATTTAGGATTATTCCACAAGGATAATCCTAAATTTTCAAGCCGCGCTCAGACATAGAAATTCGGGGGAAATTAGTACCTCGGGGAAAAACAAATCTGACGTACGATTGCGGATGTGTGTTTGAAACGTTAATTTTATTTGAAAATAGGATAATGCACAGTTCTTATTTATTATTTAACAACGTTTGCTGAGGGCCCGTGTAATTTTTATCATTGCTTCCCCCGGCAAAGAGTAATATCATTAAATTAAATGCTCCAGATGTGAATCCTGCAATTCCATGTTTCACTCTGTAGCTTTAGCTCCGCATCGTCGCTATCGGGTTAGAACTTTCTCTGCGGCATGTTTGAATGAAAACTGTAATATCAGTAATGAATTGCGCGCGAAAGCTAACTTGTTAACGACTCGTATCGTCACAGTACGCCGCGTTGCATTTGCCATAAAGCTATCGAACGGGATCTCGTCTTAAAATAGATGACATTATGAACAGGATGTTGTTTGCGAATCAAGCAGATAAACACGATACGACTGCTGTAGGAAAGCGACATTTAATTTATCAGAATATATCTTATTACACATTCACAATGTACAGATTGTTAAATCGGGATATAATTGCGTTTGAACCGCGACCGACACTCGCAGCGGGTCCGCCTTTTCCCGCGCAAGGATTTCAATCGACCCTGTGTTTGTGCCGCTCGCTCGAATGAGCGAGACTGTTAAAAAACACGAAAGCCCGTGCTCTCCGGATCGCGGATTCATACGAGCACGAGCTAGCGAGCGAGGGAACGAGCTTATAACCGTACGTCGATAATCGATACATCTCAGCGACAGTTCATTTCATCCGGAATGTCCCTGGAAATGAAAATCCCCCGATTACAATAAAGCCCCCGGCGAACCGTGCAGCGTCGCGACTCCGATTTTATGTCTCTACTCTCTCTCTCTCTCTCTCTCTCATTTTTTCCTTCACACTCCCTCCATTTCTCCGTTCGGCTGGCGGGATTTGAATTCTTAACACGCCTCTCATTTTATACCTGCGACACGACGTCCTCTGCGAAAAGTAATTTTTCTTACTGGCATTCCCTCAAGATATTCCTCGCCGTTGTCGAATCCCGCGAACGCGGGTAATCTCCTATACGAATACATTATGAAACCTCTTTTCTCCGACACGTGGCCCGTCCCCGCGGTTTATACGGGAGATACGCGCGATACGCGCGACTATGTACACACACGCATACACGTACACGAACGACAGCACACGTATGCGCGAATATTTTTCTTCCTTTCGTTTTTTTTTTCCTTTCAAAACACGAAGTTACAAGCGCAACGAGCTCTCTCGCCGGTAGAGAGACGCGCGATGTGCAATTTTTTCTCGAGGGAACTGCACCTCAGTCGCGCGAGACTTCGGTTTGTTGATCTTACCGAAAGCTCGATCCGCTTTCGTGAGGTAGTCCGCTTTGATCGTTACACACATAGGTGCGAGTGCTTACGAGAGATAAACGGTAGTCGGATGAGAGTCCAGAGGGGATTTTCGGTGTACATCGTCGTTTCGTCGACGAGATAAGCCGACGGCTATCCGATAAGTATCATCCCTTTTTACCACGCATCGAGAATTTTCCAAAGGGAACCTCTCGCGTACCTCTACTCTCGTCTTCACATTTCATTATCGCGTTTACCTTCCCTGCAGGTCAGCGCGTGGTTCCATGGAACGACGCCGAACATGAGAAGGAAATCGCTCACAATTCCATAAATTCGCGAAGATATCTCTCTCTTTCTCTGATCTCGTCGTTCCGCGATTGCTGAGAGAGATTATTTGTTTGCTGTGAACCTCCGTTCATAACGGTAGCACACACGATCACGCGCTATGTTCGCACACTCGATAAGAATCGATAAGAATCTCAATTATTCGTATTATCTCTTCAAAAGCGCGCGTGGTAACAGTAGCCGTCTAAATCGATGCGGAGTCTGATTAACTTCGCGAAATCTTCACTGAATGATCACGCGCACGCTGCAAATCCAAGTGTGTTATTTCAGCTGAGGCTCTCCTTACACATTTCTTGCTGTTTTAAATCACGTCATTTAACACGACCGAACGCGTTAACTTATAATTTAATATAATTAAACGACGTTTTAAATAACGTAATCTAAAGCGATAAGAAACATGTGAAAAGAACTTCAGTCAAATGTGTCATTTTTAGACGTTTATGCGTGTAAAGATAACACTTGGACTTGTGCAGTGCACGTATGACGTCATGATGAGTAAGGGCCATGCTGCATACTAAAACGCGAGCAGTAAGACTTAAGGGCATCCTGGAATCTTCCTGTTTTACCGCAAATTTGTTGGTAGGGGAGACCGGGGGTAGTTGGCAAACTTTTTGCATTTTATTTTTTCGTTCTCTTCTACACGGCATTTTGTGCCTATCTTTGGTATAATTTGAAAGTACAATCCTCCGGTAACGGGAAAAAATATATATTAAAAGGTTTAAAAGTAAATTTTTTTAATTTAAAAAAATTGAAAATGAATTTTTTAAAAGAAATCGACTTTATCTCGGAAGATGTCAAGCATGTCAACTTGCGCCGCAAACGGGGTATATCGATTACACCAAGAAAAATATAGTTTGATTTAATTAAATGTTGACGTTACGGTTTACCGTATATAAACATACGAAATTTCGCTCGATCGTTCGGTCAGAATCCCCTCAAGCAGTAAGGAAATTGACCAATCGCAGTGAATTATTCTCTTTACGCTCGAACAATAATCGACTGTAATCGACTAATTACTGTTTACTGTTTACACCTTACTGCTTATGTTTTTCTGCGTGCTATAGCCATAACTCTCGGCGAATTTCTTCAGCTCGCAGTTTGCGGGGGGAAAAGCGCTAACCGGAGTCAGGACACAGTTGCGAGCGCGAGCTTGTGCAATTCACGTCAGCTACGATGACAAAAAAGTGTTAAATGTTTCAGCCCCTCGCTAAGCACTTTCGGACCCTTTTCAATGGCACCGACTTCTTCAGTTTACTTTCTTCAGTTTACTCACTGACACTTGGCGACTCCACCCGACGGGCGTCACTCAAACGCGACTCTCCATGGGAGGCCCCGGTTTCTTCTCCCGGCGACAGATGTGTCCTTTGGGGAGGAAACTACGGCATCTTCTTCTCCGATGATGGGTTTTCGGTGTGGGGCAATTCACGGGCGAGTGCGTTAATCCGTCATCCTCGTCGCGCATACACAATCGGCACGTCAGCTTCTTGTCGAGTCTGAGGGCGCGTGCGACCCTTCCGACGCCGTAATGATCCTTCCATCCGACAGCAGGATAAGTCGAGGATCAGATACACGTCTCGTTCGCCGTCGGTGGTGCGCCGTCCGCTTTCTCGGTCGATCGACATTTGGTCCTGCCGTTACTCGAGTGCACGACAAGCGAAGATCTCCGCGGATCCTGCGGCTCAGTGACGATCGTGATATCGGGAACCAGGATGTCGCAGGACTTCTCCTTCAAGCCTTGATTCTCGTCGTCCTCGTCGTCGTAACGCAATTTCGCCGGCGAACGGAGGACCTCGTTCGCATGCGGCACATTGCATCTGATTGGAGAAAATCATCAGCCTCGTCTCAATTTCAGGGAATTAATTATAGTTACGAAGTTATTAGACATTGGAAATTAAAAAGCGCCGGTGAATCAAAGGGCTTACTTCTAGATCGCCGCAAATCCTTATCTTTGCCGAGTGGAAATCGCACTCAGCTAAGAAAGAACATCGCTTGAAATTAACATTTTTAAGCAACAAAGATCGTACGTTTTACAAGATGTTCCACAGAGTTTGATGTAACGTGTAATTAGTAATTATCGAAGACGCGGATTCAGAACGATCTGAATGTAAATCCTCAATCGAGTTTCAAGAATAATAGCTAACAGAAATTTAATTAAATCTTTAATCAACAATTTATCATGAATCCACTTTTTGTGAAACCAACAAATAAAATAAAAAAATGAGCGACAGTTCAGAAATATCAAAATTAGTTCATCTGTGAGGAGCGTCTCGAAAATTTTTCGCGGTATACGCGATGCAGTGTAAAAAGAACTCGCAGAAAATTCGAGCATTTCCTTAGTGAAATGCAATATCGTTGGTACTGACGCTTATTATCCATAAAAGAAAGTAAATTGATGCATGTACGCTTACCTAATACTACGTTGATAATGTACACTTCTTACACGAACCACCTGGGATCCTCTTCTGGATCCGCAGCCGCATACCGTGCTGTCCTTCATACTGCTGAGGTCGTCCCTCGTGATGGAGGGACTCGCCGGCGTGCAGTATAGCGTTTTCTTGAACGCCAGCCTGTATTTCGCACTCATCACGTTGTACAGGATCGGGTTTACGGTGGTGCTGAAGTAATATAGGCAACCGCCCAAAGGATACAGCCATTCATTAATGTCGCCGAAAGCCGACACCTGATACACGTACAACAGCCGCTGAGCGTGAAAGGGCGCCCAGCAGATAAAAAATGTTATCACGACCGCACCTGTGGAATGAAGGCATCGGTATCTTTCACACAGCCGTTTCATTGTCGCTTCGGGCATAAAGGAACAAGGTAAAGAGTGTCGACAGGAGGATTATAACAAAATGATAAAAAAAGGCTCGAACCTTTTGTCAGTGTTGTGACAGATATTAGATTTTTTTATGTAACTAGATATAGATATAGATGCAGATACTGAAAGGGAAATGTAAGTAGATACACCGTAAGTCTAAGTGTGTTATTTTTACACGCACAAACGTCTAAAACACATTTGGCTGAAGCTTTTTCTTCCTTGTTTTTCGCCGATTTAGCTTACGTCATTTAAAACATTTAATCGTGTTAAATTAACGCGTTAAATTAAATTATGGCACGTTAAGTTAACATGTCCAATTGTGTTAAAAACGTATGGCATGATTTAAAACAAGAGATATGTAAAAAATATGTGAGGAGAGCTTTAGCTAAAAGATTTGCAATTCATAGATACAGATATAAGTTTGAGGTAAATAACTAAATGTAGATACATTTACTGTGAGATCCATATCTAGATACATTTCATGAAGTACGTATTCTCATAGTACATGTATCTAATTATTTACTTCATATTTATATTTATATATATATCTACTTACATTTCCCTCTCAGTATCTAGTTACTTAAAAAAAAATGTATCTGTCACAACACTGTCCTTCGTGCGTGTATGTGTGCGTGGGCGGTTTATATTGAAAACAAATGGGGTTTCCGACCGTAATTTGTTAGGCAACTTGAGTGAAATTCTTAACGAAGTGAGATTCGTTTAAAATCAATGAAAAAGTGCAAACACCTTTCGGCGGATATTTCAGTAAAAGATCCCAAAATCATTATCAGACGAAAAAATTTGCGGAGAATCTCTAAAGAAACTCGACATACCTGTACATATTTATGTACTCCACGTGTAAAACTGTCGCATGCAATACAAGTCCATCGATTGCAACTGTTCTGTAATATATGGCCACCTATTACGAATGCAAATGCTATGGAAATACCGTTTCATTCCTTGTGTATCGATTATGGTAATATATTCGCGTAATAAAAAGTACAAACTGCCCGGGCCGGTACTTCGAAAATAACGTAAAACATCTTCGATAAAACGTCGCGCAGTTTAATTTATATCCCGGGCGTATATTTCCCAAATTGTTCCAAACAAAATACAAGAAGAGAAGCGCGCAACGGCAAGATTAAAGACTGTATAATTAACGAGAGAATTTGCGACGAGAGATGAGCGCGCGCGACGCAGCGGGAGAGGGATTGACAAATGAAACGGAGAAGCGCTGACAGGCTCGCGAAGATTTGCATGCTAAATATATTGTATGCGTCGCGTGCGCGTTTGAATACGTCGACGGCGCGATATTATGCAGCCGTCGTGAATCAGCGAATTTATGTCGACACACAGAACTTTACAGGTTTTAACCGGGCTATCTTCGCGGCTAAGAGAATGCGAAATCGAGCCGACTCGATGATTAATCGATGCTATCTTCGCGGGGCGACATTCAGCGCGGCGTTTTACAAGAGCGAATGCAAAGAGATAACGATGCCGATTGTCGCGATAATTGATGGTCACTTATGCAGAAGGAGAATATTTCCCTACGGATTGTAAGTGCCGGGTTAACTCTGGCTGATGTTCAAAAAACTATTAGGAGTATAACTAAGTTGCCGCCGCTGACTTTAGATGATGTTGACAACGGCGTATTGAGACTTTTGAAGCTAATTGTTGTTCTGTTAGTAAGATCGGCTAATATGTATTACAACGATAATATGACAGTTCGCTGCTCGACGACTATATTTTCTATTCAATCCAAGTGAATGCCAAAAAAGAACATCTTTGCATTATGTATTTAGTTAAGGAGAGATAACATAACTGTGATAACAGAATGTGATAATGGGATAATGTAATTGTATGATTTCGAATGGGAAGCTCCATTCAACGTACTCTCCAGACATCGCGCTGTCTGATTACCACTTATTCCGGTCGATGCAGCACAGCATCTCCGACATACACTTTCGAAATGAAACAGATGCCAGAAAATGGGTCGACTTTATCGCATCAAAAGACGAGACAATCACTGCCGCGGCATCCGTATGCTTCCTGAAAGACAGCAAAAGGTAGTAGATGCGGAGGGCAAATATTATTAAAACGATCGTATCGTTTCTTCTGCATTAACAGAAGAATTTTAATGAAAAACGAAACTTTTGGCGAAAACTTGGTTATACTCCTAATAGATTCGGCAAATTCAAAAATTGAATCGAGGGTAACTTGGTGTCGCCGACAAAACAATGTTGCGAGTTCTTAGCTAATAAAAGTGAAGTATATATTAAAAATTGCCAAACATTCCATTTATATATTTCGCACGCGCCATTCATCGTTTTCACATAACGTGTACACGTCTGCGCGGAAATTTGGTATTCGTTTTTTAATGCACGGATTTATTCCCCCGACGAGTCGAACTTTTTCTTCGACGTGTTCAGCGAGAAATTGGAAACCCAGGACTTGAGCGAGATCCCTTTTTACATACGGTCAGCGGGACTTTCATCCCTCCAGCGGGCGCGTTTTAAAGTAAAACACCTTTCTCTGTGTACACACGTGCGCACCGACTGTGCGACGAGAAAGATTCTTTCGTGCAGCGGGCGCCATGACAATATTGCTTTTCTGCAATAAATTATAACGAGGGAGCAAAACTTTTTAAAATCTTATCAAATTACATCAGTGCAATTGTTAGCAATCAGACACGTGTAATTAGCAAAGATAAGGGGAAGACTTTTTCGTCAGAGATGAGTCTGTGAGACTGCCTTGACATCGGGCTAATTCGGCAAACGACTTCGGCTTGGGAGTTGTCTAAAATCACGCCGTCACATTATTCGAGGAAACTTCAACATCATCTCCACGTAGCGCGCGCGCTCGAGGGAATGAAAATCACGCGGTTACATCGTGGAATTTTGACGTACCTGTAATAACTGTTCTCGTGTAGCGAAAATGTACGCTACTCTTGCAAAATGTAATTCCTGCACTAGTTTGTTAAACTTTTGAAATATTGCGCGTCAATGTAAAGCCGTAGACGAAACATAAGAGGAAGAGATTACAACGAAACATCCGTATGTTGTTAAATCAGAACACGCTTCGTCGGGGAATTTTGATTAATTTATTCCCGCAGAAAGTTTTCGAATTTCCCAATCGCGAAACTTCGATTATCCAATTTGTCTTTCTATAACGCAATCAATTATAAATTATTATTATTACACGGTTAATTTAATAAACATCACTTTTAAGGTGACTGATATTGACTACTTAAGGTGATTGAAATGCCATGTGGTTTGGAAGCACTATTTTGTTTGAAGAATAATTCAACCACCATCTTCGCGATGAGTCTTCAAAAAAAAATCGACCGTTTAATTTCATATAATTTCATTCTGTGAACAACAGCAACAAAGAAACGAGTCAGCGGTGATAAAAAAAACTCCATTATGTTCTATTTATAACGCACAACGATATAAAATAAAATGTTGCCAGTCTGGGAGGGTATAAAACGAAGTGTGATCGAAATAAAAATGTCGTCGAGCAGTGCGATAAATTCGATAGGACGCGTTATGAGTTGCGTGGACGGTCGGTGCGCCCATTGGTGTCTGTGTGTGCGTATCTGTACGCCTAATCCGAAAAGACGGAAATTTACTGAGCATTCGGATGATGGCTTTTCGAGATTGAGCCTGCCTCGTTTCTCCGTGAACGGAACCCTCGATGCTGCGACCGAGGCCGTTGCTTTGTATTCGGAGGCCCATTCTCACGTAAAGCACTGCTATGGACAGCATCGGCACGAGGAAGAATATGAGGCAACTGAGCTCGTAAAGCGGGAACTTGGGCATGTTGGGCAGGAGCATGGCACACATCGCCGACTCTTCGGAATAGCGGCCAGATCCTGGGAACAAATGCGAGGAATACTTCTTAACTTCCAACGTTGAAATCGTTCTTGTCCTTATAACGTAAGCTTTACAACGAACGAGCTGTTCGAGAAAAATTGATGGGGTCTTCTCTCGCGAAATATGTAACGTGCCGATTTATCGAAGTGACGTCGAGTTGTCATTGTATAGTAAGAGAGCTTCACGCGCTACGAGTGCTCGACGAGCAAACGTGTGAACGAAATTACACGACGATGCGTTTAAATGAAAATATTCGTGGTTTCGACAAAAAGTGAACTTTGAACAGACAACGATATCTTCTTTTTATCTTCTATCTTTTTGTAGATCTCGCGTTTCGCACGGGTTTTTACGGTTAATTAAAAGAGTTTGTGGCCGACAAGTCAGTGTTATTAATGTAATTTTTGAATCCGACGGATCTGACGGAATGTCCTAGCTTTATTAATCAAATTTATCGAAATATAAATTCCACCGCAAATGGAATTTCAGCTGCATATTGCAGTTGTCAGATTGAAAGCTTTAGATCCCATCGGCACGAGGGTTCTGTTACATTTTCTAACCGATTAATCCGCATTTGGATAGTACTTATCCGCTTGTGCGCTATGTGTGAAATATATTTATAACTTTATCCGCGATTCTGCCGAATATGCAATTTTACCCAATAATTCGTACATTTTATGATCACATGGGTAGTACACAGCGGAGATTGAAAAAGTTGTCACGCGGCGAAATTCGCAAAATATATAAATATTCCGCAAAAAATGTCGACAAAGGAGTTATCGGCAAAAATTTTTTTAATGAATTTCACTCGAACACCCACGACTGTGTGCAAGTTCGAGTTCGAGGTTTATCCCAAAATAAGGAGAGAAAAAGAGAAAGAGAGAGAGAGAGAGAGAGGGGGGGGGGGGGCAGAGAAAGTTTTTTTAATCACCTCGCTGTGAATTGCGTAAAAAATTCATTACCGCCCGCTTCACTTTGCATTTTACGTCCAACTGTCTTCTGATTACGTTGGGTGCAAAACGCGAAATTAACATATAAACGCGCCGTGACGTGCGCGTAACGGCGCACATCAGGCGCGACATTAGGATTATGAATCGTTGTAATTTAAGTCGGACTTGCTCCGGCATATTAGTGAAGTTCGTGATGAAAATTAAATCCCATATATGTACTGTATATAATGCACGTTGCACTCGGCGAACGCTGGCTGCAGTGGTAACACGCCTTTCGCGCAATTTGCGCGAAAATGCGCGCTAAATGTTACCGGAGCGGAATGTATGCCGAGGCCGCATTTAGAACGATGTGTTCCGCGCATCATCATCGATCACCATGATTTTTTCACCGCTTTTATGTTCCAACAGTCGCGTCACTATCAAGTGACGCTCGCAATCGCGCGGCATTAACGCAATATGACGCAGATTTATTGGCGTCATTCAGACGAATTATAATGGGAGCAAAGCCGCCCCCGTTAGTGCGAAAATCGCGCGCAAATCACGTTCGCAAAATTCTCCGTGCAGGGAGGCGGTTAAACGCACTTCTCGCCTTTGCGTATTCCCCGCGCGCGGGTAAATTTTTTCTCGCGCGATGCGTCCCGATGACAGCCGCGAATCTCGCGGATCTCGGGCGTTGTCCTCCCGCGACTCACAATAACAAGCGTTATCGTCACCTTGATACCCGCTACCGTGGTTTCCTCTACGTGCGATGTAATTGCAGATGCATGCGCGCATTAGTATTATCGTCATACGCCGCGCCCGTTTCTCATTGAATTTCCGAACTGCACCCGCGTCCGATATTATGAAGTTGTTGCGCGCACGACATGTCTCGGAATCCGTAATCTCGCGAAATATGTTCCCCTCATCGATTTCTCCCTCTTTCTCTCTCTCTCTCTCTCTCTCTCTCTCTCGATTCGTTTCATTTTTCTCTTCTTTCGGAGGTCCTTCTTAGCGGCGATGCAACATATAACGACGAGAGAGAGAGAGAGAGAGAGAGAGAGAAAGAAAACAAAGTGGAAAGAAATATCCGCTTCGGCGTGCTTTAATTAAGTTCTGTTAATTCGCGGCTCGCCTGCGGTAAGAAGCAGGATAAGCAGCTTTGAACGTGACGTAGATCCGGTTAAAACGTCGTTCGTTTATCGGAATTAAATTTACTTAAATGCAGACGAATATAGGCGAAATAAAAGGCAAAAATGGATTTCAGCAATTTAAGACCTCCGATTGCGCGGCCGCGGAGGGTTCATATTCATGCAAAGCGAATTCTCATCGATTTTTCCTAATTCAGCTTTTTGCCACGCAAGAATTGTAAAATGCATGTGGTGTCGTGAAGTAAACTAGAGATACCGATCTCGCACTGATGCGCGATCGAAAATCTATTGCAAAACGATCCATTTGGTACATATTTACAGAAATGCAGTCGCAGAAATGCTCCACGTCACGCGCCATCGTGGCTCAATACCGAAGAAGCAATTTCCTCAATATACGAAGCTCAATATTTATTCCAGTGTTCATTCAAATGTTCATTCACGGTAGGAACGGTCCCGACGAAATAATTGTTTCGTTCGCGGCATCGCAAGATATGAGCGCACGAATTCTCTGTGAAGAGTATTTTTCTCTGTTTTCTTTTTTTTTTATTTTTACTGTCATTTTCTCACACAGATTGCACAAATTTCCTCGGAAAGATTTCGCACTATAATTAATGATTAAGTACTTTTCTTTCATTAGAAGGCTGTCTTAAGAGACGTTTCGCCCTTTATCTTTATCTCAGCGTACATCGATCCCGATTACTTTGTCTGTCACCCCTTGAGACTTCGCGATAACTTCAATCATTGCGACAGTACAGTATCCCAAAACATTGCCTTGAATATTGATTATTAGATGAAAGACAGTGGTAACAGCGCGAATCATTAATGGTTTAAACTCAGATATGAATATTTTTTGGATTCAAAGTTAAGCATTGCTTTTACAAGAAACTTAAAACCGCGGAAATTGTTATTGCTTTTTATGCTAATCTTTATTTAATTTAACATTCACTCTCTCTCTCTCTTTCTCTCTCTGATTAATTTTTCTATACAGATAATAACTGAACTCAATTGACATAATTAAACATTTTGCGACAATCTACTTAAAATTACTTTTCTTTTTTTTAATTAAGTCTGCTTGCTTACCGGAGAAACCGATAGTGAATTAACGAGATCTGCAAAGTTAAGTAAAACGCAACCTTAATTAAAGTGAGTGTATTCATAATGAATAAATAGGCTTGCCATAATTATACGTGGACGGCGAGCTCGTTGTATTCGTGAAATTACTCAGCGTTCTTCCTCAAATAATTTCTAGACGTCAACAAATCGTCACCGGCTTACTCCTTTGATAGAGTAGCGGAAACGGCAAACTAATCCTTCGCCAAGAGCCAATTCCATTCGTTTACTTACCTTCTTACATGTTTGACATTTCTTAAAACGCAAACGTTTATCGCTAAACTTTTAAGAAAGCGACGATTATTAAATAATCGAATAATATACTTATAGGAAACAATATAATGGTCGATAATTTAGAAATTTTTCGAAAATAAAACTAAAACTAAATATTTTTATTATTAATTATTATTATGTACAATTATTTCTTTAAATTATTATATATAATTATAATTATTTCAAAACACACACACAAATAAAGTATAGTATAGAATATTAGACATTTCTTTTCTAGTTTATGTGTATGACAACAGATCTTTAAACGATCCTCTTGGAATCACCGACTCCGATTATTATTGAACCACCGGTGGGTCATTACGAATCTTTCGGGCACGCGGGCGCGCGCGTGTATGTGTGTGTCACGCCATTGGTACTTAAATCAATCCTCGCGGAAAATCCCATTTATAGCACTTATATCGCTTATCACGAGTACTCTTCGGCCGAGAGTATATATCGGCTATTAACGCAGAGACGCACTCACTTGGCGGGTACTCGACGTAATTGACGGTGGTGTAAACGGCGAAAGGCAGAGCGAAGATGAGTGCCAGCAGCCAAGCGCCTAGGATGAATCGTACAGGTCGTTTCAGGCCGCTCATCGCGTACAAATGTAGGGGGTGGCATATCGCTAGGTACCTCTCCAGCGAGAACACCACTATTGTTAACACCGACACGTAAGACGACCTTGAAAAAATATACAAACTGATTATATCGCGCGAGGTGTTCGTGAAGTTCGTCAGCATCTTGAAAACGGGAATATCGTTAATCAATAGCGAGTGTCTCGCGACGTGCTCGCATCAGACGTCTTTGTTCTCGCTTTCCGCGAGTTTCCGTGGGTTCTTGCGGTTCACGACTGATACGCGTTTCTAAATTTTACCGTCGCGCTCAGCTTCTCTCTCGCGACAGAAATAGCTTCGCGACAATGAAAAACGCAAGAAGCTCCCCGGTAGAAGATTCTTTTAAAGCGAGTTCGCACTTTTTATAAGCATAATTGCAGCGTATCAAGTTCTCGTTATTCTCTTCCTCAATCTCTCTTTAAAGTTGCGAAACGAAAGTCTTACATGTAACCTAAATGCAAAGTAATGAAATACGTTTCGGGGATAACTACTTTTATTTAACAGCTTTGAGACTTCTTCGTGGAATATGCTAATTTATTCCACCGTTACTTTAGCATATATATATGTACCTGCTCGTCCTTTTCTCGTACACTTTTGAGCTTAATTGTCCGCAATAAAATGCGACGTATCTTATAACTAACATACCCATTTGTATTTCGCGCGCTCGTGCTTTTTCATTGCTGTCGACTCACAATTCGTGCGCAACGAAAACATAAAATACGAAAACACTAAGAAGGGTATGCATTTCAAACTATTTAGAGAGCACGCAAGGATTGTTGGATACACCTTTTGTACAATTTCACATGCTGAATCCGAAAATCAGAGTCAGAATAGTCTTGGTAATAACCCGGGAAACATTTCTCAAAGTCGTTTTAAATAGAAGAGAGCAACGGTTGATTTTTTTTATCACTTTGTCGAGCTGTATCTACGAATTTCTTCGAAATTATTTTTATCAAAATCGCAACTCTTGCTTACTATAGAATAAATAAGATTTCGTAATGAAAGCTATTATTATATAGAGCGTTTATAAAACAGAATACCATGTGTATTGGATTAACTCATTAAAGCCCATGGCTAAACAAAAATCAATTTGCAACAAATTGTTATAAACAAATTATTAAATTTTATATTGACTGTAGAAGAAAACTGATTAAGTCAACAAATTCTCCGGGAAAAGTTACAAAAAAAGCACGTATAACTTTTTCTCACATCGTTCTCCGTTTATTGCAAAAAAAGAAGAATAAATATCACAGTTTATTGAAACTGTGCAAAACTAATCTTTACCAATCATAATTCTAAATTAAGGATTATCTTACGCGTTGAAATCTACAATTTCAGATATATGCTATAATATTAAATTACTGATCCCGTTTCTCTATTTTTACATACGTTCCGTTCGGTTTTGTTTAATAATATATCCGCAGCCTGAACTCACATCTCTGAGACGTACGCTCGTATTTTGCATAAGCCCACTCCGAGCTTCCATGGATACTGCTGCCAAAACACGCTCAATTCATTCGGCAGTCCTGCAAAAATAGAGAAAATGTCAATTGTGCGTATGTAAATCGCGGATTAATTTTACTTTAATCAGCTCCGATTCAACCGTCGCACGTAACAACCTTGCCCACAAATTTGCGGACACGGACGCACCGACAAACATAACGAGATTATCAATGAGAAGGGATTGTTTAATGTTTAATTCAGGTTCCATTTCTATTCAGCTCGAGGTTACAATTTTGCAAAAAGCAATGTCGCATTCCCAGCAAAGCTCAAACATAGCTGAAAGGAACCGACGAAATAATTGATTGCGCCAACGTTCGACGTTGCATTTGTCTTATGGGCCTTTCTTTGGTGGTGCATCAATTACATTCGTCGAGGTTACAAAGAGCGTACGGACTATCCGCAAGTTACAAACGGAGAACTACAGAGTAACACGAAAGCAAAGCGCCTAAGCGACATTAGATTGTTCACTAAAGGCCAGCAAGTGGACAAGTATAATTATAAATGATCACGATGAAACGCGCATAAACGAAACGCGAGCTGACGGGAGATCAGAGATCCGATTGTTACGATGTGATTTGCGCAAAGAGAGCCCCTTTACGATCGATCATTAATTGCCGTGCGTAATATCAGAATAATCCGCGTTACGCAGTTTGCGCTTTGAAGAAATAAATATAAATCACCCATATGAATCACTTTCGCCGCTCGAAATATATGGCCGCACCGACTTTAATTTCGAGATGTGCGCGCGGAGATAAGTTCTCGAAACTCCCACCAAGGATTTACGCTTTAGTTACATCTGTCTGCCTCGTAACTGATTTATATATCGGCGTGTGTAGCAACCGTCAAAATTTTCACAAAATAAAACGTATGAGAAATGGAGTTTGTTCCAATTTAAGATTTAAAGACGAACGTATCTATTCGGCGTCATCATTACTATCCGAAACGTTGAAAAAAAAAAACAAGAAGAAGGTAAAGAAAAGAAAAATCTGGATGCCGCAGGGTGTAGGGTGGAAGCTTCACAGCACGCTTTTTCACGCGCGACAACAGCCGAACGAATGAATTTTCGATATTAATCGTGTTTACACGAGCGGTGCAGCGATTACCCGTCACCGCAAATTATTTCATAAACCGGCTTTCATAAGCGTTATTTGTGTGCTCGGCGACACAGCGCATATGCAAATGCTTCTTATATTTTCTTTTCTTGCATGCCAGCCACAAAATGATATCTCCAGATTTACGTTATTTTTGTGATGATTGATGTGTAACCTTAGATTGTCTCACGTACACGAAACGTCGGGTATCGATTTTGCGATAATGTTTATAAACAGTGAACGCTTTAATACGCTAAACAGGATTATCACACATGAATCGTGTCTTGAAATTATTTGTATGAAACGAGATTGTGGAGAAACTCTCTTTCTCTTTCGCCATTCTTCCGAATGTAGAACGATCCATTTAAAAAATCGTAAAGAGGAACGCAATAACGTTTTTCTCTTCTATTATATATATTAATCTTGGCGCTTCTCGCATAGTTTAGCAGAGAATATGAAGCCAATTCGTACGGAAGGATCTAATACGGCAGATTAATATACGACGCATACGGTAAGACGCGCGCGGTAATACGTTTATTTTCGTCGGGGTATAATTTTCCGCGCTTCTAGCTAATACCGTCGGCGAGCCGCACGAAATAATACCTATTTAATATGCATTGTTTAACGCTGTTAGCTAAATTTCATGTTTGCTTCGCACATTGATATCCTGCCGGGATATATTTACGGGTCGCAAAGATATAAAACACTTTCATAAATCACGCAAGGTACATAGCGCGAAGGCGCCGTTTTATTTAACGACTTACCCCGATGCCTGTATTATATCGAGTTTCGTTAAAACGCATCCAGCATCTTAAAGTTGCGCAACGATTTGACGGTAAAAGTATTGGTTCTCATCGACCATAATTCGACGTCGTACCGTTAAAGCCTCAGTTAAATTCTAGTACGCCGTATAAGCACGATATGTAAATATACGACCATTAACGACCATTAGCGACGCATTTTTTATCGATCGTTAGTCTTTAGCGAGAATACCGCGAGAAACGTGTAGAATCCACAAACTCTCGTTGAATGTTATTATATATAGCATGCGAAGAATAATTATGTATATTCCACGATGTTAAAAAATTGTGATTCCGAATGAGAACAAAATTCAAGATGCGATAAGTTCAAAGTTCTGGAAATTTTTAATTGGCGGTAATACATTAGAAGTTTCTTCTTATTTGAAAACGTTTCAAGCTTCTTCTGCGCCACGTGTACTTTCATTCAATACTTCTTTCCCGAATTATTTAACTTTGTTCCCTCTGAGAATTCCTGATACGTATTGTACTTCGAGGAAGAAATGTTCTAATTCAGCGATTCTCCGAATTACAAAAGGGGAAGAAAGCAAAAATGAAAGCAAATAATATCCCTTACGTTCGAATCCGTGCGGATTGCGTAGGAACATGCTGGTCTCATCGGGTTTCATTCAATCACCGGAAATACTCCCGAACGAACGTTACGTTACAAGATCGCAGTAGATCGGTAATTAATCGCGCGGTCCAACGGGATTGCATCGGCGACCATACGGAGCGGAGTCGTCCGTTTTATCCCTACTTCGAACGTCACAAAACCCATTAACTCGCGGTTAACGTCGAGTACGTGACGAATCCGCGAATCATGCGAGATAGGACGTGTTCCCGCATAGACATTGGCTTTCAGTAGGCTCATTAATGAGGTTCGTATCGGACATCGTTAATAACGCACATCAAAAGGCTCGTACTTGGGAAGTTGGGAAACGTACGGAGGTTGCTCAAGGACCAGCAACCGTGCAACAGTATAAATGTAACTCTCCTTGTAAATTTAACGATATGAACGAAGCACCCGATGTTCATGTCGGTTACATTATGTATTCTTTCATACTACTCAATATTGCTTCCGGGAGATATTACAGGAGAAATATCGTGTCTACGAACGAAGTAGAGACGATATTTGTATGTCCTCTCGCGTATGCACATACCGGTAGAAAATTATAGTTAGTTTCGGTGCTAAATGTACCCTTTAACTATCAAAATAGTCAGGGGAACCATTTTTCTAATAAAAGTTATTATAACGTCAATGATAATAATTTTACATGCATGTTGTTGCTACTATAAAATATGTTTGGCGCCGAAACTAACTATAATTTTCTACCGGCGCAGAACAAACATATTTTCCCGTTGTCTTTTAATTAAGTTTTCAATTAATTGTTTTAATTTTAAGAATTCTCCCTTCCCCCGCACAGGAAACGCTGCCGCAATAAAAGAAGTTTCTCGCGATATTACAATCGTGAGATCGAAGTTTTTCTCACGAGGGAGTATACTATCGGGTACGCAGCGCCTTAACTTTTCCGCACGTTTTCTTGAGAATCTGAAATATAATCGACGAAAAGGAACTACGATACGTAATATATAACGCGCTCCAGATACCCCAAATGCATTATCTAGAAACAATGGAGCATAGATTGCTCAAAGGTCTTCTTAAATATGAAATTTATTGAGGTGCAGAATTTTGAGTACAGACATTTTTGCAATTTATAAACAGTAGTAGTAGCAGCAGAATAAACAGGCGGGAAAACTATATTTCTCAGAAAAAAGGAAAAGGGAAATGGAGATGCGAAACACCATCTTATATACCAGAAGCACGAAATGTTCCAACGAACATGCCCAACAAGCGTTATTAACAATGCTAGATCACAAATATCCGACATATACATATGCGAACACCATTTGAATTTAGGTGAGAAACAAGTCTTTTCGCGAAGTCGTTTTTCTCTCGCCACTTTCTGCCGTCGTTACGAAACCTCCGCGGCATTTGCGTATTCCAAGGTGCGCAGATACGCGAATTACATATGACCCGATTCTTAATCCCCCCGCGACGGCTATCCAGAGATATCATTCTAACTGCTGTTCCCGGAATCATTAAAAAAGTTTTCCTCCTTTAAATTAGCCCGTTGATAATATCGCGATATAATCTGGAAAATGTTTAATTCAAATACTTGACACGAAAATTCAAATTCTTTGTCGTAGTAACCTTTTCCATGTTTACGAAGAAGAAACAAATAACAAAGATAAAGAAAGAGAAAAAGGAAGAGAGAGAGAGAAAGAGAGAGAGAACTATCTGATTCCGTTTGTAAGAAGGAAAGAAAATATTTTAAAAAAACGGTAAAAAAAATATCAAATTTTATGTTTAAATAATAATTAATTATTAAACATATAACAGATATTATTAATCAATATCGCTAATGCGCTCGACGAGCAAAATGAGAAGAAATAAAATGACTTTTCGCAAACGTTTTCACTCATGACGGAGAGAATAAGAGACGAAGAGAGTGCGATTCAAAAGAATGAAGGCAGAATGCTCACATCGATCAGGCGTGCCGTTGGCCATATAATTGATAAATTTACGATATACGAAGGCAAACGGCATGTCAAGTAAGACCAAACAATCGCGCACAGCCGCGAGATACGCCGGTTGCATTAAGTACGAGCCGGGAGCTCGAAACTTCGAAGAACAGCTGCTGTCTTTCGAGAGTGAAAGACAACGTTCGACGTCATTTGACGATGAAAAAAGAAACGAAGGACATTAGATTCAAGCGATATTGCCGGGTGACTTTAATTGCAATACACATTTATATCACTCATCCGCGATCTCTCGTGCTTTATTGGATGGATATTACCTCACAGGCAATTATGAGATGAAAATATCAGCGTCGATTGCGCGACAAAGAAGAAAAGAATCGCTTCGTACGCGTATCTTAAATCTCGCAGACGTTTCACAAAGGCTGGAGACGATATCTTGCTCCGACTACGTTGGAGCACTCTTATCGAGTGATAATCTTTCGATATCCATATCCCAAATGTTTCCTTGCCAATTAATTCTTGACAGACAGAGATCGTTCATCGCTAAGGGATATCCTAGTGTCAGAATTTATAAAGTGAAAATATCTCCACTGAAAAATTCGCTTACAGTAAGACATTTCAGGGATTATATTTGCGAAAGTGGTAAGCGATATTGATCTCGCGATATTCTCGTGTGTGTCTATACAACATTAAATAATGGTCTTGCAATATCCGTTCAGTCGTTAATCATTCCTGTTAACCTATCAGACACAGATTCCGCTTATTATTAAAGGCGGTACTGCAAATGCATAAGCTGGAAATATCGGCGTAATTTATGCGGCAATGTAAGATACGTTGCGAAAATTGCAGCTACCGAGGATAAAAGCAATTGTTTACTCAATTATTTTTACATATTATTAATTTTCGATATAATATTAATAATTTATTTGCAATAACGTACGATGTGTTAAGCGATGTGTTAAGCGTCATCCGGATGTTTAATCGCAAAATCATATTTGTAAAATTGACACACGTGGAGCTTTCGTTCTTCATCCCACGATGCACCTCGTAGCGTCATAATTTGTGAAATATAAATATCGGTACACATGGCGATGGCGTGACAAAATGATTTATTCAAAAATTAAAGGAAATTACGAAAATGGGAAGCGACAAGACTTTCCCCATGATTAAAAATTGATGGAGATAAAAGCGGGACCAGAAACCCGGGAAAATGATTATACATGATTATATATAATTATATAAAATCATATATGAATTTTGCCTATATATGCGGCTACATATACGATCATATATGTCTATACGAAAAAAAAATTATGTTATATCGTTTAATCAAATGTCGATATCATGTGCTATCAGAAGCACAAGCAGCTAGAAGCATTTACTTCGATTGTATTTGCATAAAATTTGTAAGCAACAATATTTTTTCTTTGTGAACATGTGTGATTATATATAATCATATATAGGCAAGTTTCACATATGATCTTTTTCTTCCCGAAAATATATTCACGTGCTTTCATTACCCGAGAGAAATCAGAAAGTATTGTATACGGTTAAACGTCCCCTTGCTATATTTACGTATTCATTAAGTCACGGCTGCCCGCAGAGCGATATCCGAACGTTTCGTCGTTAATCACGCCCGTGATCCTGACAGACGGATTATTCAAGACGACACGCCGGAATCATGAAAAACGCGAGCGGAAGATAAATATTAACACCGAAGATATTTCGCGCACATATTTATTTACAGATGGGAAAAAGCCACGTCGTGACAAAATGCCGACGTCTGAGATCTGCTGAAAAGTGTCGTGTGTACGTTTTCTCTCTCTAACACACGCCGGGAAAATACCATCTGATTAATCGCGAGAGTTTTCTACCGAGAGCACGATGATGAAGAAATACGATTATCGGTCTCCCGAGAGCGAGCGTTCAAACGGTCACTAGTGGTCGAGGTTCTTGCAGTTTGCGATCTCCATTGTCGCAATAGGGAGCGATAAATAATCTATTCATTCACCGGGAAATATGCTTTGATAAATCCGGCGCGTGTGCCCGGCACGTTAAACGTCAAGGAAAAATACCGCCGTGTGTTTACACGCGTTGTTGTTTACGAACGACGTCTCCACGTACATAAGTTATCGCGAAAATTAAAAATATGGAAATTATCCCTTGACACGCAACGCCGCCCTTCAGTCGAACAATTAACCGACGATGAATAGAGAGCGCGGAGCGCTTCGTATACCTTCATTATCGCGTACGTGGCGTGGATTCACTATGACGATGATTATCGCTTGCGCGAGCAGACAATGCAATAGTTAGGTTACAGTAACTTTGTTTCGCGGCGACATATGTCACTATTCTTCGGGCGGCCAAGGCGCGGGCATTTTGACCGCGACAATATCCACAGCTGATTAAATTAATCGTCGCCGGTTAATGCGAACTCATTACGCATATAATTATTACGGTCAAAGCGGCAGAAACAATGGCGAGAACGTATCTAAAATCAAACGCGGCACCGCACACGCGGAATATAACGTTCGCTATTATTATCATCGGTGTTTTATTCACACGCAACATATTTTCTTTTTCTTTCTTTCTTTCTACGCCTTTTCTTTGTTCGCCGCTATCGAAGACTCGGTGTGCGTGTTTCGAGCGATCGAGCGAATTGCACGCGTAAATAACGATCGTTCTTTCGCACGAAACTCGCGGATGAGCCGATCGAAAATGACAACGGCGCGGTATATTTGTTAAAATGTAATTGCGAATTATGCGAATTTTCACGCGAGCGGGCGAAATGGCTGGCTGGCGCGAAACAAAGCGCGGCGGGAAACTTGATTGGAGGCTAAGACTGCTGGATCGAATGCCAACGGGAGTCACGTTTCCGCGGATATTGTTCTAGCTAGACGTACGTAGACGGTGTCAAGTAGAACGAAATGAGATAAGTCAGACCGTGTGAAGCAGCAGCAACTCGCCGACAAATCGAGCGCCCGAGTATAACACGGAATTAAGCCGGGAGGGAGAGAAAATTGTCGAGGAGGAAGAATGTTTCGAGCGACACGTACCGTAATTCATTTAAATATCTAAGTTATCCGTCGCAGAGCCGTGATGTACTTTTACAGGTGGAACATTTATCGAACACGAGATTACGCAGTGGTAATTTGATCGATTTGTTAGGTGCATGGGAAAAAGAGTTTGGTCGAATTTACCTGCAATGAACAAATCAAACGCGTTTTGGTTAAAGGAAACAGAATTTCTGGTTATTGATATGACCCAAACTCGGTTCTTATAAACAGAAATTCTGTTTCTTTCAACTAAAATGCGTTCGGTTCGTTCACTGCCTGGCGAAATTCAATCAAACTTTTTTTCCGCGTGTGTAAATCAATTCGATGCCTTTGGTTTTATTCGTATATTTAAAAAAACGAGCTTTAAATCTAAATATTTTTCAACTATGGTTTTAAAGAGCTGCCACTTATATTTACAAAACATCATGTAAAAATATATTTACAAAAAATCATGTAAAATCGCGGAACGGTCAATAATAATCTCAGAAAATAAGAAAGAACTGTATTGCTATCACGATAAAATGCATATTCGGCAATTCGTTTGCATTCGTTTTGTACTTCAAGTGCAAACATATATTACTGAAACCACAAAAGTGATTTATTCGGCTCTTGGTGGAGGTGCAGTGAGTGATGTAACTTGTAAAAAAATGGTAGCGATTTCGAGAAGATTTCGAGAAGATGTGCTCCACGACAACAAATGATATGCTCGACCTCACGCTCGACCCCACGTGGCGAAAGGAATAAAAGAAGCTATTTTTAATATGGACTGGCAAGTCGTATTCGGCTTATTTTTCAGACCTTCACATTTTTACCTGTTTCGGCCGTTGCAACGTTACTTCATTAGCACACATTTGAAAACAACAGAAGACGTTCGAAAATCTATCGACGATTTTATTAATTCAAAATGGCCAGGTTTCAATCGCGATAGAATTCGACAGATAGCGCAAAATTATTGGTAATAACAGAAATGATATCGATAATTAAAATTGTACACCTTCCACTGATATATAAATCTGGATGTTTGGTAGCAAAATCGAATTAATTTACACACGTAATACTTTGCGGTCAGAATATCGAGAATATCAAGCCGGAAAAGATTATGAAAATACCATGAAACAGCGTTTTGCGAGAAAGATTCAATAGAACGCCACGGTTCAACGAATACTGCTACAACTCCTTGAACGCTCGGGCGAATTTGAACACCTTTTCGCGTTAAACGCGTGAGACGTGTTGCAATTTTAATTACACGACTGCGAGTTTGCGACGAAAACAGCATTAAAATTACTCAAATAGATTGAATCCATTTGAACAAATTGAATTGCATCCGCGCTCTCGAGTAAAGCGCCAGAGAGGCTAATCTTAATTACGCTGATCCTGATCACTCACGACGCGAGATTCCGTCAAACATCCTGAGCTGCAGCGGAACACAAGATCGCGAGATTGATCCCGGCAGGAAGACGCCGTCCGAGAAATCCGGCCGACTCACCGAGAATCAACAGAAGCAGGTCGGACACCGCCAAGTTGAACAGATAATAATTCGTGGCGGTCTGCATGGCAGGGTTACGCCTGATGACGATGCAGGTGACGACGTTGCCGAACACACCGGTGACGAAGATCGCGACGTACACGAAGGTGATCGGCAACACGAGCGTCAGCGGCAGATATTTCGGGCCCCATACCGTTCTCAAGTACTCGGGCTCGCTCAGGTTCATCAGCTCCGTGATGTTATCGATCGACACGAGGTATCGACCCGAGATTTCCATGCTTTCCGTGCGCGTTTTTCAGCCCGATCGAGCCCGATTAACTTCGTCTCAGGGTATCCGTCGAACGCCGTTCGAATCATCCGTTCACCGTGCGGGATTTCGCGGGGCTCTCCTGCCTGGACGAGGAAGCGGCTCGTCTCTTCTTCTCTTGACAGTCATGATCAGTCGCACTTCGAGATGTCGAGATGTCAGCGAATTAAATCCTCGTCACGCTACGCGCATGGAAGGTGCCCTGTCGTCCCGTCGTCCGCGTCGAGTCGAATCGCGCGCGAACGTTGGATAGGCGCGCGAGCTCGCCCATTGTTTACCACGAGGAGGCAATTGTCACTCTGATAACGGAGGGGTTTGTTCTACGCTCCGATCGAAGATCGGACCCGCTCGTTCTCTCTCTCTCTCTCTCTCGCGCGCGCATGGGAGAGAGACAACCCCGTGAGATAGAACCGGGAGAGAACGAGGTGAAAAGTGCTCTCCACTCGGGAGACCGTGGACAAGTGACGGCCGCGGAGCGCGCTCCGGCCTTCGCTATCACGGACCACGCGCGCCCATCCACCACGCATCCAGCCCTTAACTTCAACCCCCCGAGAGAGAGAGAGAGAGAGAGAGAGAGAGAAAGAGAGAGCACGCCGCGTCGTTCACCCAATAGGACGCAACGATCATCGCATGCAAATATTCCAAATATTCCGGTGCATATTGTTCCAAAGGACACACAACGACGGACGGGGCTCGGCAGTAGTATCGATATCGACACTCGATATCGGGGCAATTTATTTCGATCGGACGGTTCATTAGGTTTATTCCAAGATGCAAGATCGCGCTATCACACGACCGGTTTGATCGTTTATTCGTCCTCGTGTCCGAATACCGGGGGCGAGAGGAAACTCTCTCTCTCTCTCTCCGTCAGACTGTATAATCTTCCAACTCGCTTCGAAGTTAAATAGGACAGTAACATGTATCAGACCTCGTGACTGTAACTTCCAAGAGAATCTCTCTCGCTTTTTCCTTTACAATCGTGTTCCACATTGTATGTCCCCTATATAATTCGAACAAAAGCAATTCTCTGTCGAGAAACCTCCGAAATTGCAGAAAACAAATTGCAGAAAAAGAGGAACCAGCCGCCCACTCCGCGAGCTTCTTTTTGCTCACGTCGATTTGGCACGAAATTCATTGAAATTTTCGAGATTTAATATATCGATCGGCATCCGATAATTTAGCGTGCCCAAGGACACCGGAAGGGGGGTCAGATTATGTCACCCTCGCCCGCAGACTGTCCACACCATTTACCACGCACGACCAAGGTCCTCGAAAGTTTGACCCTCGGTGGCGACTGATGCAATTCGCCAAGTATGAGAGCAATAAATTATTTCGCTCATTATCACCCGGAACGCATTAAAGTAATCGATGGTGAAATAAGTTTCGACGCAAAGCTGTCGGGGAAACGAGAAATTATGGTGGTACAGCCGGTACGATTTTACATTTTTAATCGGATGTTTCTAGGGCAAAACGCTCACTGTGACAGAATTCATTTCTATTAACTAGTGTGCGCGCGATCGGACGTGCGTGTGTATATGTGTGTGTGTGCGTGAGCGAACTATTGTTATTTTATTCGGTAAATAAACTTCCACTTTCCATTTTGTTACGCATTGTTTACAGGTTGTTTATGCCGCTCCCCGTAATTGTTACATTGTCCGTTTCGCCATATTTCGTCGGCGGGCTGCGTTGCTTTCGTTTTGTTACGTGAAATAATATGTTGTTAGCGCGTATGTTGTCCCGCTCTCTCGAAGCTTACGTTCGTCATTTTACTCGATATTGCTTTATGTGTAGTAAACCGGGTGCTATATGCAGTTGTTGTAACCGTATATTACATCGTGACGTTTATTGCCGGAGAGACTTTACCGTCGGACCGCTGATTTAACTTTTATCACGAGTGACTACGAGTACATTGCGCACATCACGCACAATTAATGAGCGTGTCATTCGGCGGATTCAACGTCGTTGAATCAATATCAGACTTAGGTCCACGCATGACACCGCTGGGAGATCGTTTCGAGACACTTTGATATACCTCGGACGCGCCCTCGCAATCGGCGGCTTCTCCTCGTAGCATATCACGGATGCGCATTAATTACTACAGTGCGTTAATTAATTCTCAGCAAACACAAGCTAACAGTAACATAACATCAATGTTACAATTTCCGACGTAACAATGTTACATAACACGCGCGTTTTATTGCATTTATGTTGTTGAGTGGGAAATTATAACGTTAATGTTATTATTAGTTGGTGTTTGCTAGGTTATTAAAAGTTCGCTCGTTAAACAAAATTTGCTCACGTGTGATATATCACACACCTCTTCCTGTGAATATATTTTAAATTAAATCAGTAGTTTTTTGTAATGCAGTGAGCTACGGTAAAATCATGGGATGAAGGTTTAACATTTTCCCTTCTCTTTCTAAAGTAAAGTCTATAGAGTTAAAAATAGTTATGCGATGCATTTGTTGTAATTGATATAAGTTGTAGGATATAATATCGTTTCTACATCACGATATCGACGGTTTCTTCCATTCTGTGAGATACATGCGCTTCTCAGTTCTAATTCTCAGTTCAGTTATCCCCGATAACACAATGTCTAAAATATGTCGGGACATAAGACATCTTTAATGACATCTTACACCCCGATTTTAGACATTACATCGTCTGCGATATTTCATAACGGCGCACAGTGGGTAAAATTAAAATAAAAAGAGAAAAGAAGTGCTTTTCGCCAAAATCATAAAATCTTTGATATTTCGTCTACGTAATGTCTACATCATTTCATTGCTTTTTTAACTAGTAATTTATTCCCCTATACTTTGCGACGTACATACGACGTACTTTGCATGCAAACAAAATGTTTCCAAATACATATTACTCGCGGGATTTGCTCAGGTAGATCATGAATCTCGAGGTTAGATAAGTTTACAAAACTATACTACGTGAATCCCGGAGTGAATTCCCGGCTGATCATCGCGGGAAGCGTAGTGAGCGTTGCGGACTAAGTGAGTTTGCGGAAATATTAATTCTCGATATTTACGATGACGGAACGCGCCGCGAATATTTAACTCGCTAAATAGAGCCTGTCTCGACACTGCCCGGTATTCTCTCCGTGTTCCCCCTCTCCCCCCTCCCTTATCTCTCGTTTCATATTTCATAGAAGATAAGAAGAATACTTGATTAGCCCGGGCAGCACTTTCAGAACGAAATATTGCGGCCACTTTTTTTATAAGAGAAACAGGACCCAGGGATTTCTTACTTAATATTACTCATTACATCCCATTCCCGTGCAAAATGAAATTGCGTCCGGTGCTGATTATATATTTTCCCAAAAGTCCCGTTTTGATCATAACGGGCAAGAAACAACGCAGTTTCGGTAAATTAAAGTTTCCGTTCGCAACAGATGCGAAGGGGATGTTCCCTCCCCCTTTACTATCGCACTTCCGTCACTATTGATAAATGAGATGCTCGACGCGACGATGGCTTGAGATCGTAACGACTCATTGTTTGATAAAAATAGGACTAAAGTATCGTGGAACTTTCATAAACTGCACTTTATTTTTTGTTTCTCATTTATTGAGAAGATTAAGAAAATTGAAATAGTAGGTTTAAGATATTTTTTTCGTTCATAGATTTTGATATATTTCTTACTATACATACACCGCAGATTTACCTATTTCGCTTCTCACTCGTCACCAATTTCACGAATTGTCGTGCAATTTAAATGCAGAGGCCATTTTTGCGCATTTGTACTGATGAAGCCCGAAATGATATCGGCTTCGACGTGAAGAAATGTGACGTCGTTGAAAACACGCGCGAGCCCCAGCGAATTTCAATCCCTGACATAAAATTATCTCCCGCGTCGATCAAAGAAACCGTCGCGGCAAATTGTCGTGATTCTGTTTGTCGGACAATACGTCCGCGGCTTCACCCTTTGAAAAGGACAAACGGGCGTGTCTCTTGTCTGTTCAAATGGCACTTCCAGCCCCCGAGGAGGGGAACACCTGTGCTACACGCACGATCGGTTTTTCCATTCCGTCTTTAAATCCCTCTCGCGTCAATGCATCTGAACGGATTTCTTCTTGAACTGGCCCGCGAACATTACACACCACGAAGAATCCTACAAGACCGTCGGTAGACCGTGAATATTACTCCCTCCCCCGTTCGCAGTTGGTTCCGCACGGCGTTTCTTTAACGGCTGCGGACTACAATCTACACTGGCGGCAAACTTGCCATGTACTTTTAAAGATACATAACAAAGTATATAAATAAAGTTACCCGAATTACTATACCGTACTATCTATTAATTTCCACCTTCCACGGGATCATTTATATATTGTTAGCTCGAGATATGATATTACAGACAATAGCGACCTCCGTCAGTTTTCTCTTCAATGTAGCTAAAAATAAAATAACAGTAAATTAAAGGGAGATTGACAATCAATTACTGCTCTGAAGAATTATTAGTTACATAGCTACGGGAGTACATTGTCAGAGTTTCAAATAGCCTCATTTAAGTTATCTCACTCGGTCGTATATGGATATCTAACAAACACAATTACATAAACCAGTTTTATCACTTATGTACAATATTATCAATCAAGAGTGCGCAATCTTTTCATCTAAATTTACTTCCGTTCTTCAATTCCTCTTATTGAAATAGTGTACAGCGTGAACCTCGGACAATTTTTCTCTCGTGACGATTCCCGAGCGATAGGCCTCGGAGTGAAGATCGATGGAAAAAAACTGCACGACAGCCCTCACACCTTTAATCGAGTCGTCAATATCTCAGGTTTACTTCGTAAATCTTGTCACGCGTGTCTAGAATCTCCGCGCTCAAATGTGTCTAAATACCTCACGCCCGGTTTGTAAATATGATTAATAGCGAAGTCACTTCGACGCGAGGGATACTCTACTAGCTTCATCGACGGCGGTGGTCGAAATTTTCTCCCCCTTTTTTCTTCAAGTCCATCTCGAAACGTCCTTTCAGCCTGAAAGCGCGCGAGGATCATTATTGGATGCGATATCTGCCCCGTAGAGCATCGGGGTTATTCGCGA